AACTAGCCGCAATGAACGACCTATCTATACTAAATGATGGGAAAACGCCCACATTCTCAAAGGGAATGCTAGAGTCCTTCATTGACATCACCATGACGAACAGACCGGAGCTCGTGGAGTACTGGGGAGTGGACGAGCGTACGGAGACGATCAGTGACCATCAAGCCATCGAACTGCACTTTCGTATGCAAAGACGAGCAAGAGGCGAGCGGCAGCCCCACCAAAGAAAATGGCGAGGAAAAGACATGAATCGACCGAAATTTCTCTCGAAAGTGGACACCGCATGCCAGGCAGCAAGGGACAATATGACGATTGTTGACGATAAATTCATATCAGAGCTCCTTGTCGAGGCATGCCGCGCCTCGTCCCCGCAACTCTCGGACCAAATCAGGAAGAAAAAACCGGCATATTGGTGGACGAAGAACATCGGAGAAGCTAGGAAACTTTGCCTTCGCGCGAGGCGACTTTTCGTCCGCGCGAGGAGACGAGCCTTGCAGGATCCGAACAGAGTCGAAGCCCTAAGGTCAGCCTATAAGGCCACGAGAGATAGATATCAAGACGAAATTCTCAGAAGCAAACGACAGAGATGGGAAGAACTATGCGAATCGGTCAGGAATGACATATGGGGGCTCCCATACAAAATCGTTCGAGAAAAAGTCGGAATGAGGAGACTGAAGATCCCCACAGAAAGGATGAACAGAATAATCGCGGAGCTCTTTCCGAAGGGGATACCCTTCGAGCGACCTGTTTTCCAGACGAACCCGTCAGAGATCCCGAAGACGACGATACAAGAAGTGAAAACCGCAGCCGAGAAGCTCGCAGCCGGGAAGGCGGCCGGCTCCGACGGAGTTCCACCGGAAGCGATCAAGATACTGATGAACAGGTGGCCCAGGATCTTCGCGGAGATGGTTGACCTCATCCTGGCGAAGGGAGTCTTCCCCGAACAATGGAAAACGGCCAAACTGACTCTGATCCCGAAGCCGGGGAAGAAGGACGCCTTCAGGCCAATATGCCTACTAGATACAACGGCAAAAGCCGTCGAAGTTATCCTGAACCAAAGACTGCAAGCGGAGCTGCGCGACAAAGGAGGTCTTTCGGAAAGCCAATACGGCTTTCGGCAAAAGAAATCCACAATTACAGCGCTAGAAAACGTATACGGCATCGTCGAGACGGAGCTACAGAAACCACTGTGGAGGAGAGCGAAAACGCTCATCGTCCTACTCGACGTGAAGAACGCCTTCAACTCGGTAGGATGGGGAACGATCATGGAAAGCCTACGAGAGAAGGGTATCTCGGAGTACCTCCGAAGGATACTCTCATCGTACCTCAAGGACAGGCACATCGTCGACGAAGATGGCAGAAGGCACGACATGACAGCCGGGGTCCCACAGGGCTCCGTGCTGGGACCTACTCTATGGAATATAGCATACGACGGAGTGCTGCGGACACCGCTACCGGAGGGAGCCCGGAGTATCGCGTATGCCGACGACCTCGCTCTCCTGGTCACGGCAAGAAGTATGATGGAACTCGAGGAGATTACACAAGAAGCACTAGACAGGATAGCAAGATGGATGCGACAGAGTCGCCTCGAGCTGGCCCCCCAGAAGTGCGAAGCGGTCATGCTCCTCAAGAGTAGGACTGACGAGGACCCAGACATCCGACTCCAGGGCGAGAAAATCCAAATTAAGAAACACGCGAAATACCTGGGGGTCGTCTTGGAGCAAAACCTGACGGGAAAGACGCACATTGAAGAGACTCTGAAGAGAGCAACACAAATGGCCGCCAGCACGGCCAGGATACTACCGAGGACGTACGGAGCGAGCGAAGCCCAGAGGAGGATGCTAGCTACGGTGTCCGAATCGATCGCACTGTATGGAGCTCCAATCTGGGCTCCGAAAGCTCTCGCCGTCAAGAAGCACCGGGACCTCCTGGAGAAAACTCAGAGAGTGATGGCCATCCGCATCACCAGGGCGTATAAGACGATCTCTACAGAAGCTGCTCTCGTCTTGGCGCGGACGATTCCGTGGAGTCTACTGGCCACAGAAAGAACTGAGCTATACGATGAAAAGAGGAGACGAGGCCGCCTGAATGGCCCCAACACAATCGAGACGGAACCCATAGACGAAGGGGAAACCAGGAAGCGCACGGTACACGCATGGCAAAGCAGGTGGGACAGCGCCACGACAGGCCGATGGACTTACAGCTGCATACCCAGACTGAGAAGATGGCTCGAAAGAGAGCACGGAGAGCTCACCTACTACACAACGCAAGTGTTCTCCGGCCATGGCGACTTCATGGAGTACCTCGCCGCGAGGAGACTCGCACCATCCGAGTATTGCATCTGGTGCACAAGCGGGAAAGTCGATAGCGTGCAACACACGATCTTCGAATGCCCTAAATTTGCCTCGCAGAGGCAAGGGATCACGGCGAGAACGGTGCCAGAGATCCTGGACCAAATGCTCTCGAACGAGGCAGAATGGGAGCGAAACACGAGAATTCTGGATAATATTATGAGGAAGAAAGAAACCATCAACAAAAGAAGCCGGGGAAAATCCTGAGCGCACTTGGAAAGCTCTGCGAGAAAGGAACGGATAGGATAAGACGAACGGCCGGTAGGGCAAATAGATAGAGTGAGGAGGGGAAACCGGACGCAATAATCGGGGATGGCGGCCTCGGCCCTTTCCCAGTTCCCGGTTTCTCGACCCTGAGTGAGTGTGTCCGAGTGCACACTCATTGCTTTAATAAAGAAATTACAAAAAAAATCAATCAATCAATCAATCAATCAATCAATCAATCAATCAATCAATCAATCAATCAATCAATCAATCAATCAATCAATCAATCAATCAATCAATCAATCAATCAATCAATCAATCAATCAATCAATCAATCAATCAATCAATCAATCAATCAATCAATCAATCAATCAATCAATCAATCAATCAATCAATCAATCAATCAATCAATCAATCAATCAATCAATGTATCAATCAATCAATCAATTAATCAATCAATCAATCAATCAATCAATCAATCAATCAATCAATCAACCTATCACTTTCTGCCCTCCCTACGCCCCCGAGAGATCCCTACCTCACGACCTAGGCCATAGAGGCGACTGAGCCGACCTCCGAGCAACACTGCGAGCTGACTGACCTCAAGTAGGAATTCACAAGAAGGAAACCATCCGCCGAGAGCACTAATTCCACAGTCCGACAAAGTGGGAAACTAGCTCTCCGCGTTTCTCCACTCTGTCAACTGTTCGATTTCCGCCGGTTCACGATACTGACAGCCGGCCGCGCCTCCCTGGTGGCGCGAAAATTCGAACCGCAAGGCCACCAGCGCAGGCCACCGAGTGGGACGAAGACCTCGATATGGAGTATCCCGGACCGCCGGGGCTCCTGACTAGGAGGACGCAGAGACAGGGAGATGGGTCGGACGGAGCCGAACCGGCGGGAGCGGGCGGGGAGAGCGACGCGAGAGGTACCGAGTTCAGAGAAGCTGCACCAGGGGCCGAAGATGGCCCGCAGAAGAGGCAGGCCTGCTCTACGGAAAGATTAGAGAGAGTGGTGGGGAAAGGTCTGGCTTCAGTGCTCGAGAGAGCAGCGAGGAAACAGGCAAAACTACAAGCAGGAACGACAGAAGCCGCTCCGGAAACACCGAAATTGGGGAAGGCGCCCGCACTTCCGAAACAGCTCGCACCCTTGGAAACCCCCAAACAGGGAATTCCTGCAGCATCGAAATATAAGATCTCAAATGACAGAGGAACGCACAAGGAGAGAACCCCAGAGAGAACCAGGAGAAGGTGAATAAAAGAAAAAACCCTCCATCTCCAGAGGAAATCGAGATCGAAGAAAAAGGAGCTCGCAGTATAGACTCCATGGAAGAACTGAAGGATCTCGTCAAGGGGAGAATCGAGAAACTGGTCAGAGTCAAGGTGCAGGGAATCAAAGCAGAAGAACGGCCCAACACCGACAGGAAGGTCAAGACCTTCACTGATAGCCTTCTCCGGTCCACGGAACGGCTCGAACGAGAAATCCTGGAGGCGATAGAGAACGGTTTCACCTCCCTGGCGGAGAAACTCGGAGCCAGTGGACATACTGTCCCAAGATGCATATGTGACAGAAGCACTCAAACCGAGAGAACGAGATCAACGAGAGCAGAGGGAGACGGAGTACGAATAGACGAAATCAGGAGTTTTGACCGATTGTGCAGCCTGAACGACGTCGTTGAACTGGCCGAGCAGGAGTGGCCAAAACACTCGTGCTCAAACGTTAGGACAACGAGGGCAGGGATCGTGTCAAGCAGGAGCACGAAGATCCTTATAGTCGATCCGGGAGACAGGGAAAGTAGGACGACTAACGTGACCGAACAGCTGGCCAGATTCTTCCCCGCGATCCGAGAAGCGGAATCACTGGAAGACGGGGAGGTTGCGATGACGGAGACAAGCATCCCGTCGACCCTTACGAGAGAGAATGGAAACAAGGTCGTGAGCGAGAAGAAGACACTGATCATCGGCAAAACTCGAGAGGAGGCGTCACCTATCGATATGGCCGAACTGATCCAGAAGATAGTGACGGAGGCATGTCTTACTCAAGAACAGCAAAAAGAAAGGGTTCTGATACAGATCCCAAATACGTGGGACGCTACCTTGAGCCAAAAACTTCTCGAGATACTCTGGTGCAGGAGCAACAATGTCACCGATGCCGAGATCTCTATGAAAAGCAAAAAACCAAAGGCATCCGCGAACGTGAAATCCGCCGCGGAGCACGATCGAAAGAGGAAGACTCCTAGGAGAAACCAAGGAGCAGTAATCGTCGGAATCCAGGTGGATCATTTACCGACGTTCTGAAGAGACTCAAAGAGCTGGTGAACATGAAAGACCTTGGCGTGGACATCCATGGGGTAAAGCAGGTTGAAAGAGGGATGAAGCTACAAGTTAGAGAAAGGAAAACAGGGGGCAATCGCGGCTGGCTCATTATATCGAGGAGCAACTCAAAATGAGAACCCAGATCACGGGCCCAGCGATCAATACCACTCTCGTTGTCCACAACTTGGACCTGGTCACGAGCGAGCTCGAGATAGAGGAAGCCCTCCGGAAAGCCATAAAGATGAGCCGCGAAGCACTGATCAAGGTAGAGAAAATAAGGACCAGTGACAAGGGTGAAAGATCAGCTCTCTTGAAGTTAGCCAAATCGGATGCAGCAAGTCTCTTGAAACTCGAACGAATCAAAATCGGGTGGGAAACTTGCAGAGTCCGAGAATGGCAGACAGTAACCGTATGCTTCAGATGCCAAGAACTCGGCCATAGAGCGCACGGATGCAAGGAGAAGGAGAGCAAGGCCAAGAAATGCTACAGATGCGGAATCGAAGGACACCTCACTAAGGAGTGCTCCGAAACCCAAGTGAAGTGTCAGAGCTGCGAAACAGAGGGACACTCCAAGTACTCCTCGAAGTGTCCTAACCTAAAGAAGCTGCTCAAAAACCAGCTGAGCAAGAACGTCCGACAAGAAAGGATGCTCGCCGACGAGAAGACAACAGAATCAAGTCGGGTGAATGTAGCCGAGCCCTCTGAGGAGTGTAGAGGAGCTCACGCCCAGGAAAACGGCCCTCAGAACGCCGAAGATAGTGAAGCGATGCAAACCGAAGACCCAGACGAGGAATGGAAACTCGTCCACAGCAGAAGGAGACAGAACCCCACAAATAATGATGATCGAGATAATTCAAATGAATCTCAATAGGACAAGGGCCACTCGCGCCGCCCTAGAACACTTCGTAGTGAATCACGGAATAGACATCTGCATCATCAGTGAGGCGAATAGGAAAATATCAGAGGACTACTAAAGGAGAGACGAAGGATGGTTCGCCGACGAAGAGGGCGACTCGGCCATCTGGATCACTAGTACAGGAGCTCAGCTCGGGATTATCGCCTTGAGCTCGACGCAAGGCCTCACACACATAGAGCTCGAAGACGGAGTCCACATAACGAGTTGCTACTTCTCTCCGAATAAAGACGACGAGGACTTCGGCCGCTATCTCGGAAAGCTGCAGGACCTGCTCGAAGACAAGTGTACGCGGCATACGTGGATGATCGCGGGCGACCTGAACGCGGCTTCCCGCATCTGGGGGAGCCGAAGGACGTCGCGCAGAGGATACGAAGTCGAACAGCTAGCAGCTACAAACAGCCTAGTCATACTCAACGACGGGGACATTCCGACTTTCAGCAAGGGAACGCTACAGTCTTTCGACGACATCAGCCTCACAAACAGGCCAGACCTTGTAGAACAGTGGATCGGTGATGAGCGTAGGGACTTCGCTTCTTTCGCTATCACAATCCTTAGGGAAAGTTCGGATTCACTCTTGGGCCCATCAGTGTGGCCCTCTGGGGCTATCTTCAAAATCTTCCGTGGTCGACTTGACGTGGAGCGCATTACCGACACCGTCCTCGCAGTGATTTCGGATCTCTCTGCCTCACCAGTCTCCCATGCCCTGCCCGGCTCTCCGTCCCTCGCCTCCGTGTCCTCTTCTCCCCTGGCGGCGGAATGTTCTACTCTACCTCTCAGCTCTTCGCCTGCACCCGATCCGGAGCTCCCCGGGTCTCCCCTCGCCGCTGACGGACTCGTATCCCAACCACTCTTCCACATTCTGTACATGAGCACCCGTTCCCTTAGTTCGCTGCACAAATTCGAAATCCTTTCCTCTAGATATACTCCTAGTTATCATGTGATTTGCTGCACTGAGACGTGGCTCCTCTTGGATGAGGCCCGGTTTCTCCAGATCCCGTGCTATTCACATTACTGTGCTTGTGGAACCTCGGCCCATGGTGGCGTCTCGGTGTTCGTGCGTGACTCCCTCGCGGTATCGGACGTACGGACGTTCACGGCGGAGGGCGATGGCATCCAGGCGGTTCTGTTCTTGGTCCGGGTGGGTGGCACCGCGTTCCATCTCCTGACTGTCTACTCTTGCCGCTCGAGTCTATTTGATGCTTTGGTTGCGCTTCTCGGCAACATACTTAACGAATTCCCTGGTCCCTTCCTCGTAGTGGGGGATCTAAACGTTGATCTTCGGGCGGCTTCTCCACCTATAGAACGCTTCCGTACCTCTATGCATGATCTGAATTTGCTCGAGGCGCATACACTTGATACCCGACCTGAGTCTTCATCCTGCCTCGATCACTTCTGGTTCACCAACCGTCGCGACGGTTGGTCTGTCATGCGTGACGTCTGTGTCCACGACGTCTGTGTGCGCGGACTTCTCCGACCATTTCCCTATTTCATGTGTCTTAGACCTTTCTTGTCCCCGTAAATGCGTTAGTCGTGACCTCGGTCGCCACGCTCGTCGCTATTTTGCCATGAGGACACCTAGCCTCAAGTCCGTATACTATCCCCGCTTGCGCCACTATCGATCGGCGGTCAACGTAGCGCCTTGTTCCCACGCTCGCCGCATCGACAACTGATTAGAGTTTTGTGTCCATAGTAGGAACCGACTCCCGAGAGAAATGAATTGCAGGAAATAAATCGGTCCAATAGAGTAATAAACTCGATAATTTATATTGAAGGAAAATCGACACGTGGGACTTGTGAAAATGTCCTGAGAGGCTCCTTGGAGAGACAAATTAAGTTTGTTTAGTTGCGAGAAGATGTCAACTAAATACGCAACTCTGACAATCCAATCCTCATCCTACAATTTGTCTGCATCGGGGTGTTTCTGCTGACCCAGGAAGACGCCTACTTCCTCGCGCAAAGCGAAGAACCGTGAGAGCATTCGTCCTCTCGACAGCTTCCTGACATCAGCGTGGAGGAGAAGGGGCTCGTATTCCGAGCCCATTTCTCCACACATTTGAACAGACGAGAGCACATTGCTTTATGGCGAACATAATTGATGATGTTGACAACGGTGGTCATCACTTCGTGGAGCTCCCTGCTCATCGGTTTGGCTACAAGCTGCTCACGATTGATGAGGCAGTGGCTCGAAATCAACTCGGGATGAGCGACCTGCTTCACCCTCGCAACCAAACCTGTTTTTCGTCCTACCATGTTTGCGGCTCCGTCCGTACAGATACCAACGCACTTCTTCCAGTCAATTTCGTGCTCCGAGAAGTAACTTCCGAGGGCCTCGAAACAGGCCGAGCTTGTTGTCCTTCCCGGCAGTTCCAATGCACAGAGGAAGTCTTCGCGGACAGACTGGCCCTCAACGAATCTCACAAAACATAGGAGAATGGCCCGGTTGGAGACGTCAGTTGACTCGTCGAGCTGAATCGAGAAGAAAGAGCTTTTCTCAATCAATCGTAGATCCTGACGCTCAACATCCTCAGACATAGTAAGGATCCTGCGGTGGATGGTTCGAGCGGACAGTGGGATTCTCTTTACTCGTGCTGCTTCAACTTCACCGAAGAGGATCTTGCAAGCGTTCACCAAGCGTGGTTTGATGAGAGTTTCGCCGATATTGAACGGTTTCTTATTTTGTGCGATCGAGAGAGCTATCTCATAAGACGCGTATAGGAGTTTCCTCGTGATTGCACTGTCCTCATCTCGAAAACCTTGCAGCACATTTTCGCGAAGTCGCTGGAAATATTCAATGGACTTTGATGACAAGTCTGAGTGCTTCGCTTGGAAGTGTCGTGAAAGTTTCAATGGCTTCATGGGGGCGTTCGACAAACTCTGCGAGCACACAAGACAAAGAGGTCGCGGGAAAATTTCGCTACCAGGTTCCACAACGAATCCCAATTCCAGGTAATCCGGATGATACCATCTGGTTTTGGGAGCTTTAGCTCTCTTCGCTCGCTTCCTGATGGACTGCTTCCTTTCTCTGCCTGAAGAAGCTGATTTCTGATTCTCCTCGTCGTCTGCGATCGAATCGGAGGAATACTGTAGCTCTTCGATTTCTCCGTAATCCGAGGGGTCAAATTCAGCGTTAATCTCATCCTGATCACTGAAGTCGGAAAAATCGGACATGTTTCCGCGGCACTTCCCACTCACGAGGATGAAGCATGGGCTGATCCCATCGAGGACTTAAACTCGTCCGAGACTGGACATTCCATTCAGACTCCTGGCACATGACATTCTCAAAATCTGACATTCGAGCTTGAGCAAGAGACCGATAGTTGATTTGGTACAGAGCTAATGTCAAAGAGAAGGTGTAGCTTTGAACGCTGTAAGCGGTCCCTGATAGACTCCGCAGCTTTGTCAGGAGGCAGATCCTCGGGCTGCGATCGAAAGGCAGAGTCATCGAAATTCGAGCCGAGCATCCCCAGAGCTCGAGCGCAATGTCCGCGGAGCTCCCAAATAATAATATACCGCGGGTTCGGCGCGAACCTTGTCAAAAAGGTCTCCGGAGGACCTCCAATTGGTCAAGGATAGGTCACCGGGAGTTGCTCAGAACTTCACCGAAGAGGTCCTCAGAAGATCTCCAGAACAATGAGCCTGATATGGATACATCATGATAGATAAACTCAGGGGGTTCGCGCGGAGAGAATCGGTGCTCCGGGGGTCCGCGGACCAAGAAAGGTTGCCGCAAAAACTAAATACATCCAATTTGGGAAGACCATACAGGACTTCGAGATACGTATTCGCAATCCAAACTGCCCCGACGCCGATTCCTGTACGTGCGGGACCATCGAGATGGTGACTTCCCATAAATTCCTGGGACTCCTCGTGGACCGGGACCTGAAGTTCAACGCACATGCCAATGCAGTATGTATGAAAATCCGTTCTGGGATAGCGAGACTGAAATACGTCACCTCAACCTCGCTAAAAAGATCAATTTACTTCGCTCTGGTAGACGCACACATCAGATATATGATTCAAATATACGGCTGTACTACTGAATCACTATCATCAAAAATCCTCAAACTCCAAAAGAAAGCCGCGAGAATTATCCTCAAAGAAGCCTAGGATGCTCACTCCGCTCCCCTATTCACGGAGCTCAACATCCTCGAGTTCAAAAAACTCTACGCCTTCAGCTTATTGTAAGTCGGAGAACACGTCACATTGAAGTGAGGTTCCATTTTGTCAGAGAGAAGGTCGAGGAAAGAAAGCTAGAAATAGTTCATGTACCCTCCCAGAAAAACCTCTCTGATGTCATGACAAAACCAATGAACAAGACTTGTTTCCAGAGGCTGCGCGATTCCATCGGTATCAAGAAAGTGACGGACCTCAGACGAGATGAGTAAGCTTGTGATCCTCGTACTCATTATCCCAATCATCGCTCAAACATATTCATTCTTCACGTATTCCGATTGTAACGTCGCGTGCCAATCGAAGGAGATCAGCTGCGTTATCTCAGAACAAACAAAACGATATTTCGTCTGTCATTGTTTTCAAAGCGAAACGGCATGTGAGAGGGAGCACGCCACAAGCCCTACGTGTTTACATTGATGAACGCATTTTTAGCGGGGAGAATTCTGAGTTCTGCGTGGCTGGCGACTTGGTGACTTTACCTGTTTGGCGAGTTATTCTGGGGTGACGGCGGAATCGATCTGAAGAGAAGATTCTTGGACCGAGTAGTAGACTGTAGACTGTATGATGCGGACCCGGACTCAACGCGATATGGATACCTCATCACAAGATAGCGAGATGAAGTGGATAGGTGTGGGCAAAACAAAGCTTCGTACAGAATACGACCGAAACTTGAGCGAATAAGATCGGAGAGCTCATGAGAACTCATTCAAAACTGCATGTACACTCGGAATTTTTATTTTATCCATTTATTTTATTTATTAACGGGGCTCTACTGTAGAAAATTTAAATTAAGCCTCCATTGGAATCCGTATAAGTCGCCAAGACGGGCCTACTCGCCGATTCGTCGAGTCGCACGCCCCGCTGGACTCAGAATTCTCCCCGCTAAAAATGCGTTCATCAATGTGAACAAGTAGGGCTTGTGGCGTAGACCCATGTGAGATGCTCGCAAGACCAAGAGTTGTCTGCTTGAGACCACGTGGAGATCCACTCGGAGGAGACGACATTTGGAATGACTATGAACGGAGAAACTCTACGACAACAATAGCGCCACCCTTCACGAGGCCTACCGTTAAGCCTTCTCCAAGCCCAAGTAGAGGATCAAAGATGGCGCTGATCTTGACCTTGACCGTGATTTCGATCGCAATCGCATCGACAATAGCGATCATCACGTTACGACGACGATGGAGCAGGAGAGAATATACCAGAATTCAACCAAGCGCGGTTGATTCACCGTATCGGGATACGGTGGAGGAGAATGAATGAAACGTAGCAAAAAGAAAAATGAGTCGCACTCGTGAAAGGCCGACAAACGGCATGGCACAAAGTTTATAAAATCAATTTAAATTGACAGAGCCGTTCCCACGTAAAATACACTCAGCTTCTGGCCGCATTTTAACCTCATAAGACGTTGATCTGAGGGGGTGGTCACTCTCGGCGAAGCTTCAATCTGCTGGACAAGGATTCTTGTGGCGGGGGGAACGGCCTGGTCAAAGAAAACGCAAAACGGAGCTTCCCTCCGTGAGCAAACCCAATGTTTTGCGATCACGTTGCAGCCAAAATTTCTGAAGTCGATCGGTGTGGCGGCGGCCGCTGTGGAGATCGGGGACGGGACGGCTTCGGTCGTTTCAGTCGTACTTTCGGGGGACTGCGGAGCTTCGGTAGCGGCCCGACGCTGGTCACTTCGAGACGAGTCGGCGGAGTTGCCGAGGGAGAGACGATCGAGGGAGGCATCGAAAAACGGAAGACCGTCGGGATTCTCAGAGGCACGCTCCCAGATTCGGTAGCCATCGGGACCTTCGGTCGGCATGGTGAGAGCGGGTGACTTCCGTAGCTGGCTCATGAGGTGCTCGATCAGGCGGGCGTCGAGCGGAGGAGGACGGAGCGCTAATAGAGAAAAATCAAGTGTTGGAGGTCGAACAAATCTGGAATTAGGAGAGAAGAAGGCCTTGATTGAAACACGAGGCACGAACCTTGCATGAACGCGGATCCTACTATCGAAATGAGGCCGAGAATCAGCCCAGTCGAAACGGCGGGTTTCATCTTGACCCCGAGGCGCAACTTCAGCTTGCGGGGATCAAGTTCGGCCACAACGAGAGTTTCCGACGTTTCAGGGACACTTTGTCGGATCGGCGATGGGGACTCTTCGGTGACGGGAATGATGATTGGCCGATCGTCGCTTCTCGTGCTCTCGTGGACCGAGCGCATGGCGAGGGGAGTCTCTCCTGGCAGTCGTACGAAGATAGAGCGGCTTCCGTTACTCATCTCGAGAGATCGCAGTGTTGGCGATGAGACGTTGAAAAACAAGAGACCACACACGAATGCCAATGAATCGGTCTCTTTATGTGCGTTTTGGATCGGGCAAATTCCGGGCAATCTCTCCCGAATTGCACGATGCATGGAGGTGCCTTCAGATGGCAAGAGAGAGCAGTGTTCGATGGAAAGATCAGTCATGCTCCAATCAGTGAGATAGCGAAGGTACGGTGACATACCGGAGAAAAACTGTTCGAAAGCGCATTCGAATCGCAACGCTCTCGGTGAATGGGTGAATACTCTCGAATGGATCTTCAGTCTAGGTGGAGAATGATGAAAATTGTGTAGCTCTTGATCCACTCGCGAATATACGATGTAGGAAGAAGCGTTATATCCGTGTAAAAGTTTTCAGTCTTCCGAGTCTAGAATGTAGCACGTCCTAGATAGATTCCCTTTCCTGGCTACGAAGCACTGTCATAGCTTCCTAGTTCGCTGTACTATAAAAGCATACGTCTATGTAATAAAGACACTCTGGCTGTCTACTCAGGCTATCCTGGTCGACGACTCCGTTGTAGTGTTCGCAACCGAAGTCTCGTGCATTTATTCAGTATCGTGAATCCCTCAACACAGGCACTCTTCTCACAGCAGAATCGACTGAGCTTAACAATTAGTGGACCATCAATTTCCAACAAGATCCATCAATGGTGCAAATTATTTTCTCACACTCACCGAAGACATGACGAGATTCAGGAAAGTTTACTTCGTCTCAACAAAGGATCAGATACCAGAATGTATGTATCCGACAGTTTGTAACATGGTTCTACAACAAGAAATGATTCCATATTTTCCATTTCCATTCGGATGGCGGTGCTGAATTCAGAAATCAGCAAGTACAACGGACTATGGTGGAAATTGGCGCAGACGTAAGCTACTCAGCAGAATACTGTCCTCAACACAATGGAATCAGTGAAAGGCTTAATCAGACACTATTGGATTTAGCGCGCACCATGCTGATCGAAAGTCAGCTCCCGGAATCATTATGGGCAGAAGGAGTCAACTTTGCAGCGCATGTCCTTAATTGTGTCAAATTCAACGAGTCAGCAGAGAAGACTCTATTCGAGATGATCACAGGTAGGGCTCGCCACCGGTTTCGAAAACCAGTCCGAAAACTGGCTTTCAATCGCGAAAAAACGGTCACGAAAACCGGTTCAGCCCGAAGAAGACCGGTTTTTCCCGAAAAAAAAAGGTTCTCGAGGGGAACATCGGTAGCTTTCATTTGGGTGGTCTGACTTGGTTGGACGAACCCTCTTTCGAGGGGGAATGTCCTGTGCTGAGTTGACTTATTCATTTGGCTCGTTCGTGTATCCGAATATCGACTAGAGACTTGGCTCCATTACAATCTCCATCAACCCTCCGTCCGAACTTCGTCCAAGAAACTCGCGATACTATCATTGCTACGCTGGCGGCGTCTGACAATGTTCCCTTCAAGGAAATTGCGACTTCTCCGGTGCTCTCGAAACTTATCTCCGGATACTCAGGTGAATATGCGCCGAAATCCGAGAATACGATCAGGAAAATCGTCCTCGCGAAAGCCGAACGAGCTCGGCAGATTATCAGGGCGGAACTCCGTGAATATCAGAACAAGTTTCCAATATCGTTTGATGAAGCGAGCGCGCCCAATTGCCCTCATCGGTGTATAAGTCTCAATCTTCGCACCCAGCCTTCCGACTCCAAGGATCCCAGTACGGCTCGGAACGTGTACCTCGGTCTGATTAATCGTCTAGATCAGAGTTTCCCAAACTGGGTTCCGCGGAACCCTTGGGGTTCCGTCGCTCTTTTCCGGGGGTTCCGTGACAAAATCTTTGCGGAACCCCAGTGTTCCGTAGGCTGCTCTTTGCGCAACTCGGGGTTCCGCGACGAGGTTTTGCTTCCATATGTACGGTCATATACGGGCCCTAGGTGTCGTAGCCCTGTGGGGAACTTCTTTTCCTGATTCCAAATGTCTTCCTCAATCCCGAAGGGGATCGTTCTGATTGGCGCATCGATCGGCAACGAATGCACACTGCGAAGGTCGTCGCACAAGACACGTTCCCACTAGATGAGCATTCCCAATTTACGCAAGAATTGACTCAAGCAATGAACATTCGGGTCTGGCCCGGAACAAACGAGTGGTTTTTCCTCTAATCGCTGAAAGGAAAGAGCAATTGACGGGACTTTGAATTTTTTGAAAAATGAGGAA